TTGTACTCCCGTGATGCTCTAGCGTTCTACGTAGTTAATTAACTTCGTTATTAACTGAAGTGATAGGCGGAATTTACCGTAGTTAATGTAATGGTAATGATTTAACGTTCGGGATAATGTTTGCAAATTATGTTTATATTTCTGCTGAGCTGCATCTCTTGTAATGTGTACCAACAGTGCTGGCACTATAAACATTGTTATGAATTATAAAAGAAAACAGACTTATAAATGAGCAGACGACAATGAGGCCATGAGCACTGTAATTTTCTCGGACGGAAAATAAAATTACCATGCTGTGTTCGTTTTTGTATTCTCAAATTTGGATAATACGGCTGTCGCAATCTATGGAATTAGGATCGTTGAAATTAGTAAAATCGAAATCACTTTAGTAGATGTTCGGTTTTTCTCGAAGTTAGCCTGTAGAGTGTAGAGCATACCAATAACGCAGCAGCTTGACAGCTAAGTCCTCTTGTCAGTGACCAATCGCGATATCATAAAATCAGATTCACAAGAGAGATTATGACCATTAATCTTCGGCTCTAGTAGATTACGCGGTCGATGACGTGACACGCACTAACAAGGAGTGAGCCGGGCACTGAAATCTCCATAAGGCAGCTGACAAGCTGTTAGAGCCCCAAGCTTGAAGCCTCTCAAGACCATTGTCATCAAAATAGGCGGTTGCGTTTTTTTCCCGCTTATAGCAGGGTCAGCCCAAAAATCGTGTTATCTTCTCCATTACTGGATTAAAGGAAAAATTCTCTATGGAGGCGTGATTATACCTTTGGCTATTAGCGTTGACGATGTTGTATTGTGAGTTAGTGAGTCTGATTCGACTTCAAAAATGATCCTGTTGCTGCCTGCCCCACGTGCACACTACTGCTACCCTATGACTGAGTGTGACACCGATTAAATCGTTAGCATGTATAAAAGATCAGTTTATTCTTAATGATAATCACTACATCTGCAGAAAGCGTGACCTCTCTTCTTTAAACGCTCAGTTTGATGGTGCATTTATTAGCAGAACTGTAGAGCAGCTCTGTGGGCGCGGGGGAAGGGAAGGGTGGAGCGATCAAGGCCAAGCACGCTATGTGGCTGTGGTTCCACATGCAGCAGTGTCGGCGGTGTCGGCTCACTTGCTAATGCCTAACTGTGATTCGTTGCAGGTATATAACGGGTGAGTATTTGGTAAGCAACGCAGTAAGTGACGAGTGAGTAAGCGTAGCAAACGTGTCGGTTGAGTTAATAAAGCATTAAGTGAAGGATGAGTAAACAGAACAAGGAATGACGAATAAGGAAATAGTGTGACGGGAGAGTAAGAGGAGCAATAAATGACGGATGAGTATGCAAGTGCAGCATGTGAAAGATGCGTAAATGTGGCAAAAAGTAACTGATATGTATGCAGTGCAACAAGCAACGGATAAGTAAACATCACGTGTAATGCTTTGTTGAGGAAACTCATAAGCCGTCATAATATGTCGCGTTGTTCGCATAATCCGCAGAGCTGAAAGGGTTCTGGCGTGCGTGTAGTCACCGGTATCGTGCACTTGTCGGGAGAGCGCCCGTAGAAGGCGGCAAACGAGCAGGAGCGGTGACCATTGTAACCCCGCCGGCACACCCGAGGCCTGACAAACCCATCAGGCCGGCCCCGCATTACTATGTGGATAACTGCGCATAGATGTGTCAATAACAGCACTTTTTGTGTCTAGAATAACTGCGCTTGTTAAGCTGCTAAAGATAAAGATTGGATTGGCATTAAATCCATGCTTACTAAGCTGCTACTAAAGCATGGGGATTTAAGGCAAAATCGAATCTACACACACTCTATCTGACGAATACGTTCATATATTCGTAGAAATAATTCTGCTCAATAAGTTCGAATGCGTACTTCTGTTGCAATAATGCGGCTCCATGAGTGGTGTTTATGCGCTTGTTTGATAGTTGCTAAATTAATCGCTCTTGTTATGATATTGTCGCCTGTGATAGACACTGACCTTGTGATAGCTTGCCACGTTATTATGTTAATGTCAAGGAAAATGACCTTGTTATGTGTACGTAACGTTGGGTAGTGGTGATGGTTAGAGGAGGTTAATCTCGTAAAGGAGATAAGGTAGCCGTCAGCCCCACGCCTAACCAGGAAGTATCGTCCATGGTATTAGTCTACCCATGCACAGAGGTGACCGTTTTATTTTCAACTACCACAAGCTGCTCCGTGTGGTGGTAGACTTGTTTTTGGCTGTATGTTTATTATTGCATTTCTAGCCTACGGAGGAATTGAAATTATTCAGTGGATGTTAAAACTATTCGTCTATCAATATCTATTAATATCACTTGAGTTTTGTCAAGTGCCGTGATCACTCCTTTCAATTATGGAGAAATTCAATGGCGAGTTTGATATTGAAGCTCACGATTACCTCGCTAAAACTATCAAGTTTTACTCGTATAAATATATCAGTGAATGACGCCCTTGTTGAATGTTCCCTGCTGTTTAATTAGCCCGACGAGTTTGCACATGCGCTCTTTGAGCAGCAAGTCCAGCAGTCGAACTTTGTGCGTCTCAGGTGAGAGAATCCGAGAAACTGTTGTCATCTCCTCGCCATTCTTTTGGCAGAATCGATAGTAATTAAATCATAATCTGAAACCGTTTTCTAAGTAAAAGGATTTAGTTAAAACAAATATTCTATTTACTCGTAAATTCTTTCTTTTGCTGTACATAGTGGGAAGTGAAGAGCTTTGTCACATCAGCTTTCCTGCCGCCACGTGACTTCGTACGTCCATCCGCCGGAAGACATGCCATCCTCGTCGCATAGGCGCGACTTCTTCCTGTGGCAGCGTAAGCTTTTTCTGACGACACTGGGTTCAGTTTTTCATGGGCCTCGCGCTAGCGATATCGAAGAAGTAAGAAACTTAATTGCCACTAAAATATCCGGAAGTGATAAATGGGAATCAAAAACACTTTGTATATTGGTACAGAATAATTATAGTGTCGTCTATTCAACTCGACAATGACCCATGCCTTTACACTTTCCAGAAAACATATGTTCCACTTTGATTCCTTATCTACAAACTTCTCATAATTTTATTCCCCCAAACGCGATGATTTATATCTTTGGCTGGAGGGTCATCGATCGGTAATAGTTCATATTCAGCTAGTTAATCAATCCATGCAGAACTATAATAGATGAAAAACTGTATATACGTATAAAAAAAATACTAAAGAAGGAAAGAAATACCGAAACTATTCTCAATATGGAGCAACCATCCGCTAAAATGTATTGTTACAACGCATTTACGATTAGCTCATCATATTGAGCAGAATACGCTTTCTTATTCTTTGAGCCAATCTGAAATCATCATACATTTGAGATTTGCATTTTTATCGTGTTCGAGGAATTTTGGACGTGTGTTACGCGTCTTAATTAATATCAAGCAGTGCGCGAGGGTTTTGGAATATTCTGATCAGAATATTCGACGCGCTCACGAATATTCTGATAAGAACTTTCGCTCATCTTTAAAATAAAAAAAAAAAACACGCACACATCCAGTTATGAATTATATATCCGTAACTTTGAGTTAAAATTTATTTCAGATGAAAAGTGTTTTGCTGCTCCAAATTTTAGACTATAATAATCATTTTTATGCTAAGTTTTAGGTAACATATACATACAAATGATACACTATAATAATTATTTTTATGCTAAGTTTTAGGTAACATAAACATGGTAATCGAGCTAGCAACCTCGATGAACTGGAACACTAGGAATATCAGCCGCTTACTTCATAGTATTCACTATGGTCGTAAGTTCGTGTCGATTATTATACAATCTTAGACGCAGTTTTCAATGAATTAGTTTCAACTGAGTGTTTAAGTTAGTCAACGTTGTTTTGTAGGATACCGTATCGCAATTATTTCTGACCATCTCATGCAGGTCTCCTATTTACGAAGCTATTGGCTGTTTCATTTGTACCCTATTATAGAATCGTTCAATACCTTTAATGAAATACTGTAATTCATAAAGTTTGCTCGCGCTGGAATGATTGCAGCCTTTCGAGTGTAAGAAACCGAGTCAATGGCTACAAGTAAATGCTTTCCACGCGTACGTGTAGAAAGCAAGTGCTTCAAAACATACTTGTTAGGAGTATTTCACACTTACTCCCTATGAACAATAGCGTAGCATCTAACTAGTAATGCCCGTAATAGACTAATAGGCTAATAGCTCATGAATAACTTCCCAGTTGCGGCCATAACTCCTCACCGTGGACAAAAACTTGGGTGCAATTTTTTTCTAAGTTCAATTTTATCAGCGACCTCGAATTTCTAACAAAATGAGCGCCGCTACCTGCTCACCTTGCGCCAGTAAACTCTGTGGTTCATGAGGCGATGGTGACGTCACAGTCGCGAGTGCATCGCGCGATCGGACGATCTGACGCCGACAGCCTAGAAACTTGTTTCCGCCCTCAGTTTCTAGGCGGCAGCTTCCCAAATTTTGAGTATAAATATGAACCTAACTCATAAGGGTGCAATAATATAAATGTTCTTGTGCAACACTAGAATAATGGGTCAAATAAAATTTAGATAATGCTGATATTCGAATAGTAAGTATTTATAGCTTCAAATCCACTCGTAGTGATACAATCAACACAATGCATCAAGAGGTTAAATGAACTTCTACGTCAGTATTTCTTTTCGTGGTCAACGATTATTTGGTAAAAATGTAGTGTTTCAGAGATTGTGCGTGAAGTTAATGTATGAGCCTCATCATGATATCTGCCAATTTTTAGTTATTTGAAAGTTGAAATAAATATTTTGTTGGTATGGGTCATTTAATGATGTAAACACTGTAAGATAAAAAAAAAGAGAGAGCTGGGACAATAGAAATTAGGCATCAGTCGTTACTCGTTGGCTGAAGCCGCTCAGCCAATACTCTCAGCCATCTCAAGCTTTGAAGTGCAGGCGGCCGAATTTGCTGCTATCTGGCTGCCTGCTGCCAGTGTAGAACTCACCGTGTTCGTGGTTAGGTGTACGAAGTTATCTGCTTCTGCAACACTTTGTTCGCGTGGAAATCTAGTTATTAGTGCGGTATTACAAGACACCGTTTACGTTAGAAACTTTTTCTAATAGAATCTAATCATTGTACGTTTGCGTAGCTGTTCTATTATAAGCGATAGTGACTTTAAACACATAATTTTACAAAGCAAGCGTGACGGGATCAGCTGTTGCTATCAGAAATTGCACATGTCCGTCAGCATGTGATACCACCGCGTGTTCAGTGGTGTAATTCAGCGGAAGAAGAACGAAAAACTTGCGTTCAAGAGGTACGTCATCCATATACGCCTTTTTTTTCAAAATTCTGTATCTGTTGTATGGAAGATACTATTTCGCCTACGGTACCGACTGATTTGTGAGCTTTTTCTTGGTGTGGGGCGTCGGGCGTGGACGTACATTTTGACATATCTTTGTTAACATTAAATTACATTAGCTGATTTAGTAGGCTACGTGTCGTATCGTAGACTCGTAGGTAGTTGTTTCTTTAACTTGATTGTCTTTAATTGTTTAGTACCTATATTGATGACTTGTTGAACATCAAATTTGAATGGAGACTTGGCATAGTTGAAAATTTGTTTGTGTGGTAGCCTATACTAGGCCTATTGCCTATTTTGGATTTGTAAGCATAATGTTGAACAAATCATATGTTTCATTATGATAAATCTTGCCACTTTGTGACAAATTTATTCACTTGGCATTCAAGCTTTTTCTTAAAATTCTATCTGAAATTATTTTACAGTCTGTCTGGAGCTTCTAAGCACAGTCACAGTGTCACATTTACAAAAATTTGTACACTTGTTTAATTGTAGCTTAACTAATTCCTATTGCCAGAATCTCATTTTTTTATGGGTGCCCTAGGCCTAACTTACTAGCCTAACCCATGCCATAGCCAGGCCAGCCAAGGTTTATGCAGTTGCCTAACTTGTTGTGTTGTTGAGGATTTCAGGATTCAGGTTTTATCATCAAACATTGAATTATATTAAAAAAAAACTTGGTAAAAAGGAAAGATTTTTTTTATTTTTTGCTGATGCAGTGATGCAGTTAGGCCTATAATTTTGAAAATTGACCTATCATAATCATATCCATATCATTAAAATTTTATTTCCTGATTGGACATGGACTGTATTGCCATCAAATAGTTTTGAATAGCCTTTGATCATTGATCAATATATACATATGACTTTTAATTATTTATTATCATTAATTAGTAAAATTGTGGCAAATGACTTTTTGTTGACATTCCCTAACCAAGGTATTCAGTCCTCTATATATATATACATGTATATTTTGACCATTATAATGGATTATGGTGGATACTGACATTAATATAGCCATACATACCATAAAATGGGGTAACCTAGACCACTTTTTTTTAATAAATGATGCCATTTTTTTACTAGCTAAATTTAACTTGAATTGAAACGTGCAAAATACAGGTCTATACTCTAGCTTCACTCACCATAAATTGCTGGCTCCTGCCTCTCATAGTTTTGATGTAATTTAAAAAAAAGTGATGGTCTTTGTTACCCCAGCTCTTGGGGTATCTTAGACTGGGTGGTAAAATCAATTTTATTTTTTAGTAAAATAACTCCAAATAACTCCAGGCTCTGGTGCATTGTAGTAGAACTCTTCTAGTTACATATGCAAATGAGTAATGACAAACTTGAGGAAAGTGTCATAGTTTGCAAATGGGGGGCACTGCCCTATAATGGGGTAATGTGACTACCTAATGGCAGCCCTGACGGGGTAAATATTGACTGGCTTGGAAATTAAGTTAAAATTACCATATATAAGACTCTAGAGTCTGAAACATAGAGAAAAAACATAAATAGGCTGTCAAACATAAAATATGTTATATATGGTATAATGGTAGTTTTATATTAAGGGGAGCGTCTGGGTGCTGAAAAAACTTTTTTGTTAACAGACAGATTGTTTTGAAACTTGGTACTCATATGTAAAACAGAATTTGAAGACTTTTTTGTTCATGTGAATTTTTCGAAAAAAATGAAAGAAAACGGAAAAAAGGGGGTACCGTAGAAAACTATCTCCTCCTAGGATTTCAAAGCTACAACATTGAGACGCATATCATTCGATGCGTAAGGACCATATCTATCGATTCGTCATAGCTTTTTTTGAATTTCAAATTTTTGTGAATGGGGGAGTATTTTTTGCAAAATTTTCAAAAAATTTTCCATTTCCCCCATTTTCTACCCCCTTTTTTCAAAATATTTTCAAAACTATAACGAAATTGTAAAAAAGCTATAACTAATCTCTAGATAATTCAATTGCAAATCGAATGATATATGTCTCATTGCTGTAGCTTCAAAACTCTAGGAGATAGGTTTGCAGTGACAATAAGTTAACTTTTCAGTAGGGCCCAACAAAGTCGCGTGCGCCTCGAAAAAGACATTCAAGGGTCCAAGGTTGCAAGACTACACGATATTGGAGCTTAATTTCTGTCAAGGCTGGTGCGAACGACGGCACGAGAACCATCCCATATGACTGCAGGCGGATAACTGAAGCACAGCGTGTTCAGACTAGCTATTTAAGTGTGCTACTGGTAATTTAGGCCCATATCAAATGTTAAGGAACTCCACCATCCCTAACTCTTTCGCGATCTGTCGTGAACGCATAAATCAACGTACAGAGATGGTTTTGGTACCCTTAGATGCGTCAGAATGTAAGCTTTAAGATAAGTATAAAAACCAAAAAAGTCAAAATTTTCGATTTTGACCCAGATGCTCCCCTTAACTTACAAGGTGGTCTATGTTACCCCGTCAGGGTTGACATTAGGTGGTCTAAGTTCCCCCATTTGGGGGCGGTGCCCCCCATTTGCAAACTATGACACTTTCCTAAAATTTGTCATTTGCATATGTAACTAGAAGAGTTCTACTACAATGCATCAAAACCTGGAGTTATTTAACCAAAAATTAAAAAAATTGGAGGGGGTACTCTGACAGGCTTTAAATAATAGTTTTTTTTGTAGGTCACATTTTTAATTTTTTTACCTATTAGATATGCAAACTTTTTAAATCTTTCTATTGTGTTATGTAGCCTCAGTATTAGGCCTTTAATGCCCATTGACAAAAATTTTCTATGTCAAATAGTCTTTGAGTTTTGGGGGTTTTTGTTAAAAAAACGAAAAGTGGTCTAAGTTACCCCGCCGGTCTAAGTTACCCCATTTTACGGTATGATATTAAACAAAATTTTGAAGTTGATCAGGAAATTAGAAATGAACTAGTTTCTAAAAAGCCTCTTATATGCCACTATGATTAGTAAGTTGCTTGGTTTGATCAGTACAAAGTCAAATAATGGTCAGATAAAAAATTCTTCAAATAAATTAATCAAACTTAAAACAAGCAAAACAGGTGCATGCTTTGTAATACAAAATTGGTTAAAAGGACTGAAATGAAGTGCAAATATTGAACAAGAGACATCAAATTGAATGTCAAGTTATGAAATTGATCCAATATTATAGATCAAAATAAATTCATTTCAGATGGAGTGAAATGTCCTATTTGAATTGGTCAGTAGACAGCTTGAATGGTAGATCAATAAATGTTAGATATATAAATGAACTCAATGTATAATATATATATAATTATATACAGATGCAATTGATGAAAGCATCCATAGCTTTGGATGCTATGCATTACAATGAATGCATTTTAGATGGAGCTGATATTTTTGTCAATGCAGGTGTACTAGAATTATACAGCCAGGTAATACCAAAGATATTTGTCCAAAGCCATTCCCAGCCATGGGAATGGATAAAAAGCCATTCCCAGGACCAGGAGCATAGCTAAATCTGGTTGCAAGCCAAGTATGTGCACATAACATTAGACTTGGCTTTGCTTAACAATAAAGCATGGTAAAGGATTAGCAACATTAATCAATTCAATTTTGTTCCATGAAGAATAATATTTCCAGTAAATCTTGTAATTCAATATAATATAATATAAGTCCTGCACTGGCAAGTGCAAGTATTTAATGGTTTGGTTTCCTCAAATTCAATTCCAATTTGTATCTTGATTTAAGCTTAATTTTTAGCTAGTTTTAATGCTTTTACTTTTTTATTATATATTTTATAGAACACACTTTAGCTACAAACTAAGTTTGGCAATGTATTGTGGCTAGTGTTTTATTCTATATGGGTTATCAACATTGATGATTTTTGGGTTAAATGTATCATAATTTCCCTTTTGTAAACACACATTTCACTTGTAGCTGAGATTCACAGTTAACATTGCCATTCAAAAACTCCTGGAATGAATTTGATGTGCAAGTAAAGTTTTACACATTATTAATACAATATGTGTTTTTTGTGCAGTAACTAGGGCTGTGAAGTGAACCATGAACTACATTGGCAAGTTCATATCAAACTTCAAAGACTTCTACAATGACATCAATGCTGCCACCCTCACTGGTGAGTGTTGGAAGCCTCTTAGTTAATACGCTAAATATTTTTATCTGAATGTCATTTTGATAGCTTATGCTTGAATCAGATTTTGGAGTTTAATTGATAAAATGTTACTTATTTCTTATTTGTTTGTGTTTTATGAATTTAACACTAGTCACCAGCATGCAACTGATTAGAAACATTTTGATAATAAAGAAGTGTAATCAAATTAAAAGTTACTTTCAAACATTTTTGTGATATTGCATCATTACTATTGAACTATGACTGGTCACAATGTTTACTTACAATGGCACATTAAAATAAGAGCAATCTGTTTTGGAGTGGTACTCAGATTCAGATTAATCGTTTTTATGTTGCCTTCTGCTTTCTCATTGTTAATCATAACAGACTTGCCATAAGATAAATGGGTTCATAAATTATTTCTAATCCTTCTAATAGACAAGCAATGGCAGCATGACCAATCCTGTTACATTGATCCTCCTGCTCTGGCCAGCCAAAATTTTGATTCAATAAATTATAATTGCATCTGATAAGTAAATATTTTTCTCACATCAAGAAAGAAGCAAGCTTTGTGCTTTCTATCTAAGAGTTTCTCTTATTACAAATATATCCAATCCTTCTCAAGAATACAAGCGAATGGCATGCTCTCTTTTTTTTATAAGAAAGTGAGCTCATATGGTCATACCTGAAATAGAACGATTTAATTCAACTCTCCTGGAGTACGCTGTTCACACAATGCATCTCAATGCTTTACATGAAGACACGCTTTAGATGAAGACACGCTTTTAGATGAAGACGCGCTTTAGATGAAGACGCGCTTTAGATGAAGACGCGCTTTAGATGAAGACACGCTTTACATGAAGACACGCTTAGATAAAGATATGGACACGCATAGAGACGCAGGCCCTCGGAGCATGCAAAGCTCACTGCGGCCAGGCTGTAGAAACGCGGCGACCGCGTGACCGACACGAGGTATACCCGCGGCTGCTGTGCTGTGCACATGACAACTTCTCGTTTCTCTTGCTCGCGCTGCAGCACGGTGCGGTCATCGTCTTCAAAGGGGGATTATCTGAACTGATGATGTATTGATGAAAGTGCCAGATGATATGGCGTGCATGGGCTGTGATGTGCACATGACAACTCCTCGTTTCTCTTGCTCGCTCTGCAACACGGTGTGGTCATCGTCTCCAAAATGGGATTATCTGAACTGATGTATTGATGAAAGTGCCAGATGTTACGGTGCGCATGGGCTGTGCTGTGTTTGTTGCACGTTAACGCTCGAAGATATATGGGAAACTAATCAACTCGGCTGTAATGTCGCAACCGTTTGATGATGTCGCAACCGTTCGATGATGTCGCAACCGTTCGATGATTTCGAAGATATGAAGTCTAATAAATTCAAGAGAACGAGAAAAACTAGAGTATGTATCGAGGCTAACTGACTGCAATATGTATGCCAGACATACTGGAAAAGGAGTAATGCATCCTTACTGAAATGAACACTGGAAATTAGGCCGCCATCAGAGTTTCTATCTAATAGATATTATGATATTGTTGTAATACTTGACTGACGTTTTCCGAATCTTGCGCATACGGTGGATCGCGCGCGTGACAGATACCTTAGTCTGAAAATAGATTCAAAACTCGCTAAGTTAACGTAAGTACTTACGCTCTATTTTCTTGTCTATGATTGGTGGATTTTGCTTGAAAGGCCGTCAATGTTTGGCTGATGAACTTAGGATCTTTTAACTTTTTTTGAAAGTATAGGCCCTGGGCAATAGATTCAAAGCTCAAGTTATTTAGGACAATGCCACCAGTGAAGAAAAAACGAGTTGCTCATAGGAGGTTAGGAATTAACTTGGATAATTGTGATTGAAATAGTCGTCGGCAGTGAATGATTCATATCTACGCTCATCTCGCTTCACTTGTCTCGCTGTGCGTGCTGGCTTGTAATGCGCTTGTGATCAAGTGCCAAGTATTGCATCTTCAGCGACTGCCAAGCATTTTATCTTGATCAGCTGCCAATTATTGTACTTTATTAGTCCTTGATTTTATCTCTTGAAAATTATCTTTTTTTTATTGGCGAACGCTTACGAATTCAAACGTCGACATTCAGCATTTGTGAGTCGCCGTGGCCCGCTCCAAAGTCAGACATCGTTGAAGGATGTCTGCCACTCGATTTCGTTTGGCTGGCGCGATTGTGAGGCTTTCTTCAAATTTCGCTTTTTCATTGTTTTCGAAATATTGACTAATAATCGGAATATTGACTAATACTTTTGTTGATTGTCATTCGTGAACTTCATTACTCCAGTGTTGGCTGTCTTTGATTTGTAAGGTTCTTGTTTGCCAAAATAAATGAACTCGTAAACATCATTCATATGTGAACCATTCTGAGTGTAAGTCAATGATCGATTATCGGGTTCCTTTTCTTACTTATTTGGCAAAACTCGCAACTCACACAGTCCAGGATTCAGCATGTGCGTGAGCTGTTTGTGCCTTTCAATCTTCTACATGTCTTGAATTTCATATTGAATTTACTGCTATCAAAAGGGAAATAATTTTTTCTCTGCAGGAGCGTTCTCGCCGCGTAAAATTAGTTTCGCTATTAATTAGTTACGCTAATAATCCATGCCTTTCCGACTGTTTCATCTGTAATTTTATTTCATCGATTACCAACACCCTAGGTCTTTAAATGGCAGAAATATGCCTTTTGTACATCCCATGAAAATTATTCGAAAATTATGTATTCTGTGTTAATTCTGAGACGCTTCAAACTTGGTACCATCTTTACAGCGCAGTATGAGTAATACTGAATATTACTCTGTATTACTGAAAGGCTACAGTTGTTTTATACAGGGAAGACTCACATGTACAAGCACAAACAATTTGCGTATATAATGCAGTATCCAACTTGCTCGTTGACAATGCGCCGTCTTGACAAGCGTTATGCGCTGTCCACCTCTGGCTGTAGTCCAAATTATCCGCTGACCGTGACTCCTGTGTAATGTGTGCAATGTGCTTGGTCGCTGTCGCTGTGTATATTATACACGTGTGCATCGTGTATATACACGTGCGTCGCTCAATACACACTCGTCTGCTGTGCCCGTATTATGTAAGCTTGTTAGTTTATTGTTGTTCCCATGGTGCTCCTCATATGTCTAATCGATGTCTATTGTTTCTTTGCTATTTTTACTCTCTATTCATATGTGAATATGTGTACAGTATTTTCTTTTAAAGTGTCTTTATGCAGCGTTTGCAGTCATTTTCTTTTGTAGCTGTGTATTGTTAAATGGGCATACCCATCCATGACATGCCGATTGTAAGTTCAAGAAACCAAGCTAATTTCTTGCATTTTGCTGCGTGTGTTGAATTAAAGGAAATTATCTTACCCTTTGTTGATTTGTGGTGCAGGAGCGATCGACGTGGTGGTGGTGCGCCAGGAGGATGGCTCCTACCTCTCCTCGCCCTTCCACGTCAGGTTCGGCAAGATGGGCGTCCTCAGGAGCAGGGAGAAAGTCGTGAGTACCCGGCACCCATTGCTTTTCAAAGTATATGATTAGAATAACGTTAAAACATGACCTTCTGTGCGACCAAGAGTTGTGATCAAAGACCAAGTTGTTCAGCAAAGATGGGCCGCGTCTTTTGCATGCTCGATCTATGTGCCTCCTCTGCACTCCCATATCAAGATTTCGCATGCAAATTTTTTTGTGTGTCCGCCCATTTTTTTGGCGAGCAAGAGTTGTGATCAACGACCAAGTTGAGCACTCTGTATTTACGCAATGATGGGCCGCGTCTTTTGTATGCTCGATCTATGTGGTGTGCATGCTATGAGTTGTAGGGACACGTCTATGCTGTTGTCAAGTCATTGAGCTATGACTGCTACCGCTTGTGTGTACCAACTCTGTGTTTGTACTTGAACTGCAGTGCTCGTATGTGAGATAGATGCGAGTGCTTTATAATTTATTTTGTTTTGGATTTAAATATACCAATGTACATACGCTAATTCACTGGTACAATTTCATGAATGTCACTTCGAAAGACTGATCAGACTGAAGCGATAGCCTCGATATTGGGCTACGTCATTTACCGTTTCGTGTTCATCACGAGTGACGACAGCCGTGCAACGCGCAACTCGAGACTCTATGGCAAATTATAAACGCACGAATTCGGAGACTCGGATGCACGAATTCAGCTGCTCATTTTGTACCGTGTTTTATGCCTGACTTAGTATTGTTTGACAGCGATACTCTCGCGATACTCTGCAGTGAGAACCAGGACCTATACTTTCAAAAAAAGTTAAGAGATCGTAAGTTCATCAGCCAATCATTGACGGCCTTTCGAGCAAAATCCACCAATCATAGACAAGAAAATAGAGCGCAAGTACTTATACGTTCACTTAGCGAGTTTTGAAAGTATGGCCCCAGCTCTTGGCTTTGGTTTAAACTCGTCCATCAAATGCTCGGGGAAGGAGAATGTTTGTGAGTGTAGGAGCGAGTATCAACATTTTCATGGCTATAAAATATCAGTTCCGTGTTTTGGTTTGTGTCGCTCACAAAAAAAATCAGGGGAACGGCTAAAATAGTAGATAGTATATTCTAGAATGAACATTTATGATTGTTATAAATTTAAGACGAAAAAACAATCGGGTAATTAAAATGATGTAGTGCACCAAGATTCGGTGACTACCAAGATTTTCCGTCATTAGAATAACTTGGTAGAAAATATTTTGAAATATAGAGTGAAAATTTGAATGGATATTCCTAATATATGTGCGAAGTATATCTCAACTCTATACGACCCATGGACGTATGTCATGAAAAATAATTAAAATTTTATACATGTTATCAGTTAAAAATGATTGATTGATCCGAAAATGCAGGCATATATCATATTCTTTCTCATAAATGTCACAGTACAATCTCCTGCCGGTTGTTCGAAGAAACCAAAGATATCACACATGTCCTAGATGCATAATAACAGCATATATAAATCACAGCACTGTAGCTCACCATTGCTTTTTTCGTCCATGAACAGTTAAGATGACAAACCGGAGCAGTATCATCACAAGCCTAATTCCCAAAAAGGATACGTTGCTATGTGAACGCTAAATGACTTGCATTGATGCATGGTTGCTTCCGTGCATGTACGACAACCTAAAGATGTTCTCTGTAGCCATAGTGGCAAAGCAGAGTTTTTTAGACGCTTCCTCAACCTCAAGTTCATTTTTGAGTCCTATAAGTATAAGTATACCAGTAAAGTATCTTGGATACCAGAATTATCATACATAAGAAATCTGTTAAAATCTTAAGTAAATGAGGAAATCAAAAATTCAAAATATCACTGGTTTGCCACTATGTCTGTAGCGGACAACCGCCCTCAGCTTGCTACAGCCAATAGGATGCGTATAATTTAACTTAAAGATCATGTTCATGTAGAGTGACATACGGCGGTGAGGGTTAACTATATAATTGGGTTGATTAATTCACGCTGGTATACCCGCACTCGGAATTAATTAGCAATTAGGTCTCGTGGTTGACATAAATTCGTTAGAAAGGAGCCGAAAGCTAAATCGTGGAGCTCATGCAGTAGATGACGTAAAAAATTCTCTTTTTTAAATGCTAGGAGCATCTCGCACTCATGTTAGTGCGTTTTCTACAATCTTACTTAAGAGTTGAGAAAGTTGTTAGTCACTCGTGTAAGGAATTCTCGAAAAGAATTTGTTCGACTCCTGAATACACAAGAAATATAAAAATGGCGCCAAAAGCAGTACGGATTAAGCGTCCTTGGACGCCGGCAAGTTTTTGCCGATCTCGTGCAGTCCTTCTTTGTGATGCTCTGCAAGAGGTTTTCCCCGTTGCCGTATTTTGTCAACTTTATTATTGGGCTCCTTCAGCGCATATGAATTGTCTTGAGAATCTGTTCTAAGAACTTTTCTTCATGTAGTGGTTTACTATGAACATCTTATTAGGGTTAATTTACTCGCTAGGAAACCTTAGTTGAGTACTGATGGACTCGTCCTGTTCTACGAACTCGCGAGTAAAGCTTTATCAACTCAATTTGTCGTATTCCATAACGATTGTTATTCATTTTGTTATTATTGGCTGCAATGCAACTATACTCACACCGGGACTATAAAATCTAAAAATATTTGAATAGCAGTCATCTAGTTGGTTCTATGTTCTATGATGACATGGACATGAGAACCACATTGACATGTGGTAAAATGAATGCCACATGGACATGAGCACCGCTTCGTTCTCACCATTATCTGACGCAGGCGCTGTCACCGTTGCCTTTGATAAATAAAATGAAAACCACCCGTAATGCGTGTGCACCATCACAATGGTCAAAGCTAGTATAAATATCGTCTTGTAACTATGCCTTCTAATTAGAATTCCGACTGCAATTACACGACTAAGCTTTAATAAATGTATGAAATATTAAATAATATTTAATATTTAATTAATATGAAATATTATTAAAGCTTTGTATGAAATATTATTGAATATAAGCGGCGTTTAGGTGCCTCAGTGGCCCAAATGAGAGCGGATGAACGATAATCAGAGGCGGCGATCCATCGTGGCCTGGGACTGCTACGTCCCAAACAAATACTAAGGATACTAAGGATACCTGGCCACGCAGCACGGCGCAGCATACCTGCGGCGATCCATCGTGGCCTGGGACTGCTACGTCCCAAACAAATACTAAGGATACTAAGGAATAGGTCGACTTCGCTGCTGCCTCTTTGGTCAGCAGCTGCGTCTACTGAGGCCGTCCGAGCTGCGGTTATGGGTGCGACCGTGCGGGGCACGTAGGCGGCGAGTGCTCCTTCAGATCATGCATGTCATGCACCTCGACAAACATGCGTGGACGGTTGTTATGCAGAGGGAAAGCGCGTGGCTGGCTGGTGGAGCGCGCTCAGATAGCAGACAGTACTTCTATGTGCACGCACCACCTGTAGAAGCTGACATTACCTTTATTAGTTTGTGATATAACACTAGGCTCTTATTCCTAATGCGCTGCAGTACTTCCCTTGTAGCGCTATTTATTTCTTGTAAAGTTCAGCTGTATGAAACCTGTCTTGTGGTCACTGCACCACGCGCTGTACAGATCGGCTGTAATTTATCACCGTACATCGTGGTTATATACCTATATATACATAGAGTATCGAACATTTTAAATTACAAGAATTTTAATACATCGTTTCAGGCGGACAACCGAACGGCAAACCATTACGGGCAACGGAATGCCACCATGCTTGTCGTCGAGTTAACATAGTTGAAAATGTGTTGCCAATTCTTTATAAAACGCAGCAGTTATAGTGTTCTTCACCGGTTAACAAATCTTAGGAGGGCTGAACGTGCTGCATGTCGAACTGCAGCTAAAACAACGCCAGCGGATGTTATTGAAACTTGACCTTATAGGGGTTTGTGCGCACTCTGTATCTGCTCACAGTAAGAAGAAGCTATTACCCGAAAACTCGCAAGACTAAAAAATCCCTCGTGTACACTTTTTAACCAGCCAAGATTGCAAGATACACTTCATAGTGTTCGACTCGATTACTTCTTCAGACGAAAATTGCATAAAAGAACACAAATTACATTCTCGACACAAATGTGCGCTGACAAAGCTTGAAAGCCACCGACGATAGCTCCATCATTGTTCATTGTTCAATGGCTTGCTAAGGAGACATTGTGATTGACTTCCTGACTACATTCGACTCCTCTATGTTAAAAGTTCAATACTTGGATTTGTAGAAATGTATAAATTTCGAAAGCATAAGTTTCTAATTGTGATCCGGATTACTACTTCGAATTGTTATTATTAATTGTCAGGTGTCCCAAGTAAAGATTATTGTAACTTAATTATTTTCGCCAGATTTTTATTAAATTTTTTCATGGAGTCGTTTCTGTTGTATTTCTTGTGCATCACGTTCTGTGTGAAGTGCACCTATTGCTTTCTTTTAATTACTAGTGTTGAAGCGTTGATAACGACTGAGCTAGTCCTAGGTTCTGGTGCTGTACGGTCTGTTGGAGATGCGGGGCCATACATTCAAAACTAGCTAAGTGAACGTAAGTATTTATGCTCTATTTTCTTGTCTATGATTGGTGGGTTTTGCTTGAAAGGCCGTCAATGATTGGCTGATGAACTTAAGATCTCTTAACTTTTTTTGAAAGTATAGTGAACGTAAGTACTTACGCTCTATTTTCTTGTCTATAATTGGTGGATTTAGCTTGAAAGACCGTCAACGATTGGCTAATGAACTTACGATCTCTTAACTTTTTTTGAAAGTATAGTGAACGTAAGTACTTACGCTCTATTTTCTTGTCTATGATTGGTGGATTTTGCTTGAAAGGCCGTCAATGATTGGCTGATGAACTTACGATCTCTTAACTTTTTCTGAAAATATAGGCCCTGTATGGTCTGTTGGAGATGCGGTCAGTACAACACGGGGAGTACTGTGCACTGCGCCAGGTCGTTGACCTATCGTCCGCCGCTCTCAGCTTGAATTATGCGC